TATTCTCTGCTGTGCAGCCTGTTAGTAATTATCCATCCATCCATCCTCCAGCCCATAATCTCAGTCAGACTGGCTGTTAATAATGTAGGTGCTGCAAACAGGAGTGGCATCTGGCTGGTGATTCTTTAGACGTATGAATAATTCCAGGGCTGGAGATCACGTTCTTCAGAGAATTACGCCTCGCTATCGTTCCCCGTCCAGCTTCTCACTCTCTCCTCACCTGTCCGCGAGAAGTTAAACTTTCCCAGATGCCGGAGGGTCAGTCTGCTTTGCTCGGCAGACCGTGAGTTTGCCTGCAATGTCGCGCTCATTATCTGCTGGAATATTTAAATAAGCCATGGAAGTCAAATACAAGCTGTTGGATCTAATACCGCTGTAATACCAGATATGAGTCTGAATACAGAATTTTTATGCATTTTGTTGAGTGTTAATGTAATAGTGTGAAAAGATAGTTGTAGTTTTTTTTCAGTTTTAAGCGCAATACCTTTCCAGACACCACTGCCTGTCATATAAAGGGCTTTTTGTTCTCTGCTTAGTGTCAAAATCATGCTGAAATTTACGGAGAAGTGTAAACGACAGCTGGGTTGTGTTAAAGGGATTTGGCTAAAGAACCTGCCCCCCCCCCCACATTTAAAGCTTTCGGTATTTTCACAGAGGGCTGTTAATATAACATGAATTTCCTCATTCGAATAATATCACCAGGAGTAATTTGACCTTGGATGGAATACGATAGCACTGTGAAATTATGAGATCTTCATATTGATGTCTGGCTTGCGACTTCCAGTGTCTAGTACATTTAAAAGCTGTAGATCTATGTGAAGAAATATGGTAATACTTTGGCTAATTTCCCTGAACTAATAAATCCCAGTGCTCATCCTTCCTAAAAGCTGTGGAGAGACAGAGAGAACAGAAGCTTTCAGAATGATTTCAGGACCCAAGCTGGTGTGGACAGCGACCTTCTCAGCCTGACTAAATGACATAAGCAATCCTTACAGAAGCACAGACAAACATTGGGCAAATTTTTTTGACTGTAAATGAATACAGAAACGTATGATTTACACTAACGTTGGTGTTTTCTTGGTGTATGTCTCCATTAGCCACTTGCTACATTAATAAATTCATCGATTGAGTTTGATTGTACGTAATTTGGTAGACACATTTTAGTCAGTTATAGGTCATTTTTAACCAGATCTATCTTTACCTATGTATTTTGTAAATTGGCATTGTGATGTTCTACACATCAACAACCTAATTTTGAAGGTTGTTTTCTGTTTCAGGGACCAGTTGGCATGGATGGACAGCCGGTGAGTTTCCGTCACGCACGGTGCATAGAGGCCTGTGCCTTTGGCGTGATCTGCACACGGTCACACGGTAGCTCAGAGTCACCGGGTTCTCGTTTGTTCTCGGGGTCCTCCGGGATCTAAGGGGAGTCGGGTAAGTTTGCCGCGGTGGGATTCCTCAGCAGCCCGCTGCCGCTTACGGACCTGGGCCCGTGTCACATTCATTTAACGCCCAAGAAAGGTAATAAGCAGGGAATCATGGGGGCGTGAACCAGGTCGGCATTTATGAGCACGTCGCCCGTAACTTCTGTGAAAGTAGGAAAGGGGCCACGTTTCATACAGAGGGCCCAACCTTGCCATTAGCCAATGATATGTTTTGAATTGGTGATTGATGGGGAGGGGCATTCCAGGGGCCAATCAGCTTTCAGCTGGGGCCAGTACCACTATAGCTCCGCCCCTCTACACACCCTCTGCCTCCAGCTCTCATTACCATCTTAAATTGCGATAAAATACGATGGTAAATCCCGTAGGGGCTTTTCTGAGTGGACAGCCATCGATGGGTAAAAACAAGTAAAAGTCAACGTCCACTCTGGTTTCACACATGCCATGGTTCTGGATGTTAGCTATATGACCATACATTAAGGTCTCCTGGCCTGAAGCGGGGAGCATCCAGGAAGGCGAAGCCCTATCAGTTTTCCAGGTTTTACCTGGAAATCAGACACACGCTTTTCTCAGGTGATGCATCTTTGTCTTTTTTTCCCTGTTACTCCAGGGACCATCGGGACTCAAAGGGGATAAGGTACAGTATTTGCAAAGCGTCGGAGATCGTTCCAGGTTGGAATTTTTTAACCAATATTTTTCTGCATGCAGCTTAATGCCCAGGTTTGTGCAGCCTGTGTTTGACAGGTCTTTGTCTGTGCAGCCTGTGTTTGACAGGCCTTTTTCTCATCTGTAGGGGGAGCATGGAGACGGTTGGCCAGTGGTGAGTCTCTGCTTGTCCTTCTCTAGTTTTCCCAGACATTAAAGTCACAGAATAGCTGTATCTGAAGGGCTTTCTACTTCCAGTAATGTCTAACAAAGAAGAAAAGCTAGAGGTGGACAGTTCAGGTCCAGAAAGTAAAAATTTATACCAATCAACCAGCGGAGTGACTGTGACTGTGACTCAACTGGTTGGTTGAAACAAAATCTTGGTCTGGATTTTTACTTTCTGGACCTGAACTATCCACCTCTGAGAAAAGCCTTTATGAATCTTGATTCTTGTTTCCTAAGCTCCAGATGGAGATTGAAATTCAGTGAAAGTGTCATGCTGACTGAGTTGTTCTAGCCATTATGCCTTTTTGTTCACTTTGTCATCTGTCTGTGCTGTTTAAACAATGTGGGAGTCGTCAACAGGTCATTATGAAACCAGAACAACACGATCAGGATGTCATTTTACGCCACCTGTGCAATATATTTTGTAGCCCTGAAGTGTTATGTGACGTACTTTGATACGTCTCTGTCCCGCGAACGGAGGTCACGGTCCTGACTTTGACACGTCTCTGTCCCGCGAATGGAGGTCACGGTCCTGACTTTGACACGTCTCTGTCCCGCGAACGCAGATCACGGTCCTGACTTTGACACGTCTCTGTCCCGCGAACACAGATCACGGTCCTGACTTTGACACGTCTCTGTCCCGCGAACGCAGGTCACGGTCCTGACTTTGACGCGTCTCTGTCCCGCGAACGCAGGTCACGGTCCTGACTTTGGCACTTGATCACTCCTGTCATTCAGCTCACAGCTGAACCCCAAAGTGACACAGGCTCTCTCAGTCTGAACCATTTAAAGGCTGCATAGATGGTTTCATTTCAGTGAAAGGGAATGTTTCAAGGCTTTATTGTGAGTCCACACAAAAGCTTACTGGGAAAACTGGAATTTCTGGAAAAAACATGTTAAAAGCATTTGCTAAAAACAGCAGCTGGACATTGAATCATAGTTCTTTCCCTGATCCCCCACAAATGAGCTGTGTGGTAATTAGCACAAGCACCTGAATCAGGTGTGTTTAATGAGGGGAAACCAAAAACTGTGCAGGGTGCCGGCCCCCCAGGACTGGAGTTTGACTCCCCTGGTTTAGATATAGTTACAAAAATTGTTACAAATGAGTGATATAGTTGCAAATCCATCGATAGAGTTTGTTATGGTGCCAAATGGGGCAGAATGCTGTGTGCTTGAGTGGAACATCGTTGGTTCAAGTCGTACGGTTGGAAGAGTGATTTCACCATTGGGCCCTTGAGCAACGTTCTTAACGTTGCTCCAGGGTTTGGTTAACTCTGCTATATATAGAGAAGAATGTCTGATAAATAAATAAATGAATGTAATGTTTTTAAGGCAGAGACCTGTGGCTGGATGCATTCCCCACCGCTGATGTTCTTTCCCCTCTCTGTGCCCTCTTTGCTTCCTCACCCCCCCCGCCCTCCCCAGGAACGCTTCTCCAACGGTGCCTTTGCGGGTCTACTCAGCAATCAGATCCTCACTATCAAGGTCTGTATCTTTTTTCCCCATTATCCTGGACCTCACACAGGAATTGTCTTGCACTGAGCGCCGGTACATTAGACCTATTTACTGCAGTGTTCCATTCGTCTCTTGGTCTCCGTTGACGTCTCATTTCCTCTCATTCTTCTCTCCTTTACCCACTGGGTTTCCGTCGGTTACAAGCGCAGTAACCTCTGTCCATTAGCAGTATTTAATATGCCTCTGGTTTACCATTAGCTGGGGTATCTTATCCTTCCGCTGGTCATGGTTTTGCCTCTGGATACTAGCCGACCATTCATAACATCCTCATGGTAGCTTTGCCAGAGGCCTTCGGATATATCGAGCATCTTCATTGTAAATGAAAATGGGAAATTGTTAGCCAGTCGTGTGTGGAATTGTAATGTTTAAAGCTTATAAACAGAGATTCTATCAACTTTTAATTTGTTTGGGGAATACGACTGAAAAAATTCATCATATATATTTTGCGCATTTTTAATTTTATGTTTTTGCCCCCCCCCGGCTTTTGCTTAACTGGTTCCCCCAGTATGAGTGTATTGTCTCCAGTTACCTGCCACACCTGTACCTGCCACACCATCCCCCGGCCGTCTCTCACACCTCATTTACATACGATTGTCGTCCGTATGTTTTTACACCTAAAGTATGGAAAAAGCATCATGTCGGGAACTCGCACACCCCTGACTGAAGTGTTTGTTTCTCGGATCGATCTGGAGGAACATGTGTGTGACACAGAGAAAGCAGAACTAAGCAGACATCTTTTGACAGTCCCTGTAGTACAAAAACAAAGCGGTTTCCATATACCAACTGTTCCAGCGACACGTGCAAATTCTCCCAGCAGATGTGAAATACAGACGAGCACGTCCGAGGACAGTGAAACACACCGGTCTGTCAAACGTGCTAACCTGTCACTATGGGAATAGATTCTGCAGACCATCTTCAGGTCCTGCTTGTCCTTGACAGCGTGTTCCTCCAAGCATGCTAAAAGCGATATATGAATGCTTTCTAAAAACGTCCCAAAAAAGCGTACTAAAATGACCCATCGGAATTAAATTCCAGCGTAACGTCATCAGAAAGGTTGACTTTCACAAACGGTCTGAAAGTTTCTCTGAGCTGTTCACCAGGTGCTGGCTAAACGCTAACGCAACACTGCTTTTCATCTCCCCTACCCTCCCGCCTGATCTTCAGGGTGACCAAGGACAAGCCGGCCCCCCCGGCCCCCCAGGCCCCCCCGGATATCCCGGTCTGAGAGGGCCCCCAGGAAACCCGGGAAAGGACGGGCCCCCAGGGCTAGCTGGAGACCCAGTAAGACATCTCCCCCCGGCTCCCGCTATCACTTCTTCCAAAGGATGATGTAAGAAGAGCATCTGTTTATAAATGCATGGCAGCAGCGAACTAAGACGCTCCACAGAAAAGCCGAGATCCATCAGCCATCCTTTCCATTCAGCTTTGACCTCTTGTCTCCACTAGTTGTGTCTGCAGTGTCACAATGCAAGATTTCGTATCGTCGTCAGTTCTGATGCCCTCTATACCCACCATTCAGACGCTCCCATGTTACGATATTTCGGACTTCATGATGGGCATGATAATTCGATAAATTGCATGAGATATTTGAACGTTTTATAGACTTTGTGTTTATGATTTTGCCCGACTGTAGTGGTCTACGCATGTTTAAGGTAGGCTAGGCTATGCCATGGCGTTCGTTAGGTTAGGTGTGCTGCTTATCGGAACGTGACCCCATCGTAACCCAGGGAGCGTCTGTATTTCATAATTCCGGTCATTTAAAACAAATGCCCTAGTGTGGGTGTTTTACAGAGATAAACTTTGTGAGAACAGTGCATTTTGACTTTTGTTTGCACTGAAAATATTCATAATCAGGGATTTTAATTCTTCACATAATTAGAAAGATAAACCATAACCTGAATGAAATGAGACTTTTCACCAGCAATTCTCAGGTATACACAATGTTACCCTAAATAAGGTGTCCTTTGGCGCTTTGACTGGGCTGTTTATCTGCCTTTAAATGCTGCGTATCCAATCTGGTTCACAGAGCTCCAGAGCGTGACCAAGGAAACATTACGCGGGCCACACACGCGTGTCACACACATGCAGGTCACAGTGAGGGCGGATACAGGACCGCTCTCTCTCTCTCTCTCTCTCTCTCTCTCACACACACACACAGACACACACAGACCTGTACCGAAAATATGGTCCCCACAACATCAAAATAATAGGTTTTTATCACATTGTGGGGACATTTGGTCCCCACAATGTAATGTATATCTGATCCAAACACACACACGCACCTGCACACCCACACACACACATAATTACGTGTGTTAGCTCATTACCATCACCGTTATCAGACCACGACCCCAAACTTGCACCTCTTTATTCATTTGCTCTCTTCTTCTTTTTTGTAAAAGGAAGGAGACCAGGTCACCATCATAATTCCAGCACAAAGTGCAGCAGTTCTCACAGTGCGATAGCTCCCCGACACTGACGCTAACGGCAGGCTGCGTAGGCCACACACAACAAAGGGGGATCTTTCTGCTCTTCGCCTGACGAATGGCCTTCAGGAAAAGCTTTAACAGTGAACAAAATCATGAATTTCAAACTATATGAGAGATTTATGTGCACTTAAGTGCAGATCAGCCACGGATGAAGCTTTTTAACTGAAAGAATAACGGCATTTAGTGCAGCCATCTGGCCGCCACGGGGCCCAGTGAATACGGCTCACTTTGCTTATGGAAGATAACAGGCCCGCAATGGAGTAAATCACATTTTAAACAAAAACATGAAAAGAGCGTCATCCTGTGTGGTCTGCGAAACACTGAAACACTCAGGCAAAGTGTTTTTGGTGAGAGTAACTCTCAAGAGATTCAAGATGTTTTATTGTGCGCGTGCAACAAGTGCACAACAGTACACAATAAATAAATAGAATGAATAGACAACAGACAATTAGATGTATAATATAATAGTGAAGACGAGTAACACATGAGTAACACATGAGTAACACATACTCTGCTGTTTTCCTATATGAAATTATTTTACTAGGTACTGCTATTATTACTGTGTTCTAATGTGCTATTTACTTGTACGTCTCTTGGACAAAAGCATTTGATAAATAAAAATAAATGTAAAATGCAGCACGCAGTAACATTGCTGTAATCTGAAGTCTAATATTACAATAATCTGCAATCTGCCAGATACCCGAGTCGGACGGGATTCACTGCGACATGTGGATGCCCTGACTCTCCTCACAGACCCGTCTACTTCAGCACATACTGTTTACTTGTTCCCTCCTGAGTTTTCCCCGAAGTTACCATATGTGTATGATCTTTGGGTTCTTGACAGTGACTAACATCCTAACAAAACCTTTCAAAAACAAGCAAAGCTGGGTAAAAACGCAGCCTTTTTCAGTTTTAAAAGGGGGGCGTTCATTGTTCATTGTTGACTCTTCTGATTAAATTACTCTCGTTAGCCATAAATTCGTCCCAGTATGGAAGCACAGCCCAGCTCTTGAACCCTGATTTTGCAAATTTGGTTGAATACTGACACCTAGTGAGCGTTATGAAAATATCTCCTAGTTTTAATCCTAACCCTGTTTTCATGTTTACTTCAGGGGAAACCAGGACAGGATGGCATTGAGGTGGGACTCAGAGTTAGCTACTGATGATTCTGTATGTTGCTTTGTACTGGGTTGCACCTGTAACTGGTTCTTTCTGACCATTTCCAATAAAACTGTTATGATGGCATGATTTTCTGCCTGATTGTATCGAACTGTGAATAATTAACCTTGTACTAATTGTGTTTGTTTACATCAAGGGACCCAGGGGACATCCCGGAATGCAGGTGGGACTTCTGCTGTCACACGCACATTGATCATTTCTGCATCCATTAAACCGACGGGACTCGCTCTGCGATGAACTGGCCGCCCTCCAGGGAATCGATTCAGCCAGACGCCACATTAACTCACGAGGCTGTAGAAGACAGAGGTCCTCCGTAATTGGAGACGTGGATATTTGTGTGATACATGAATTGTTCCCTACAAATGATGATTACCACCGCAGGCCAGCACTGTTGTTCGTATACGAAAGTCTTACTTTCAAAGGGTCTTGTCTTGTGTTTTTCCCTAAACCAGTTTAGCTCTTCTTACATCAGTGTGTCCTTAAGCTGCAGAAAAATCATTCTACTGATGGTATTCTTCACCTGAATGTCATAGGGTGAGAATGGCGAGCGAGGGGTGCCTGGACCCCAAGGACCTCCGGGGTTAAAGGTCAGCTAATTTCAAAAAAATGATTTCTGCTAGGAAAAAAGGCTTTATTAATAAGCATAATTTAATATTTCAATCATTACAGTCAGCTGAAATGTAAGTCTCATAAGACAGGTGTGTTTAGTTTCAGGCATTTAACGGAAACAAATCATTATGCGCGACATGATGTGGTTTATCAGTCTCATTATTTAAGCTTTCTGACAGGGAGAACCGGGACTTCCTGGGGACCTGGGGGAGAAAGGCTTGGATGGACTAAAGGTAACAGCTGTGAATTTCCTAAGGATCTAGGACATTAGGATCAGGGTTGGATCCTACAGACGTGCGATGCAATGTCAGTGAATAATAATGAACCCATACGTGAGATTCAGACTGGTGCCATACTTTTGGTTAGGGCCCTCTCTGCTCTCAGTAGACGGTTGGGTTGCGCCGGGAGAAGCTGAATCTCTCTGCTTGTCGCCTTCCTCAGGGAGACAAAGGAGATACTGGGCATGCAGGACCTGGGGGAGACAAAGTGAGTGAGACTCCACTGATATCTGGGACTCCTGATATGTCGGGGGGGCAAGATACCACCAAGCTGCTCGCTTTACTCTAATAGATAAGAAGACAGAGATAAGTAGTTCAATTGAAAGGAACAAATTAGTTTTGCTTAATTTTATTTATTATGGCAAATTGTTGTCAGCCATGTCGAGTGTCATGCATCTGTTAGCTGAATATCACAGCGGATGCGTGTAGTGTGTAAACCGGCGTGTGGCTCTGCCAGTTAGAGTGCTGTACTCATAATCAGAAGGTTGCTGGTTCACATCTCATCATTGCCTTTGGGGCTTTGAAGACCCCTAACCACCAGTTGCTCAAGGAGTTGTTTGTTTCTGCTTTCTAAAAGCACATGTGCATGTGAAAGTGTTTGCTATATAAATAAAATATACAAATGACTGGATAACTTTGTGCTCACTGCTTCATATGTTTTAGTCAAAGCTAAATATTTTTGCTGATAATATTAAATTCGGGCCAATTTATTTTTATATAGCCCCCCCAGGCACTTTACATGGGTGTGTTGTGGCACATTACAACATCAATAAGACAGAATAATACAAAAACAGGGAAAAGGGAAAAGAAAGAAAGACAGAAAGCCAGATTAACATGTTATGCATGTTTCCGAAACAGTGGGCTTGCTTACTAAAAGCAAGGTGTAAGCTGTGGTCAAGGTCGAAGCCAAAGTCCATCATGGTCAGTTCTCAGTTAAGGTACCTTAATCAAGATTGGACCCCTCCTAGGATTTGAGCTGACAAACCTTGTCACTGTACTTATTAACTACACAGATGAAATCGAGACAAAGGTTAACGTGGTGTTTCTCCCGATTAGGGTTTACCGGGACAGAAGGGTGAGCCGGGGGAGAGTGAAATGGCTGACATTAACGCCAAACTGGACAAAGTCCTGCAGGTGAGGTCTAGGTCGCTGCCTGAATTTACTGCATGTGAGAAAGCCTTGCATTTGTCAAGAAGGAAAACAGCTGGAAGTCATGATATATAAAGCAGTATCTGGACTACAGTCTGCAGAAGAAAAATATCTTGTGTTCCTAGTCAAAGTGAAATTTTGCCAAAGTCAACTTTCGTTTCTCTGGAAAATGAAATCTTCCACTAATTACTTACAGATTAATTTGTGCTCCACCTTTATTTTGAAATTAAAAGATTTTATCAGGACGAAAGTTTTTTGTTTTTCAAGGAAGATCTGTCTTGCGAAGCTAAAACATGTTATTTTAACATTTGCGGTCCAAGTTCTGAAAGAGGCACTAATGACATTACTGCTGCTGATTCAGAATTATAGACCTTACAAGGGCACGACTATAATTAGCACGGTGAGGTCTGTAATTAGTTATCAATAGTAATTGCAATAGGAAAAAAAATTGAAATGACTTGAGTAATTACATGAATAGTGACTCTAATGGTTTTCTGATGTTCATGTGTTTATCCGTCTGTCCTCAGGGGCCCCCAGGCCCACCGGGGCCCCCAGGAGAACAAGGACCAAAGGTACTGAATGGTTGCCTCAATTTGTCACTGGCTTTCATTCTTAGCTTATTTCAGACTTTACGGTGTAGAATGCAGTGTTCTTTAATGCTGCCAGACATTACTAAACGAGTGCCAAGCAGTGACAGTTTGATGGCATGGGAAGGTTTATTTTTTATCTTCAAACAGGGAGATCTGGGCTTACCTGGACCACCAGGGGTTGATGGCGATAAGGTGAAGGAATTTGCCGAGTGTGATCAGTGGCCGCCTTGATTACTTGCATGACCTACTTCCTGTGGTGGCTTGGTTTAAAAGCACGGTAGCTGGGAACACAACCTGATCATTTCTGTTAGCATAAAGTGCCCAGTTTCTGAGCCTCTGATGAAGTGGCCAAATGGAGGCGTGCCTACACATGGTGCAGTCATGTGACCTGCCTCTCCTCCCTGACGATTGGCTGGGCCCCTGCCTCCCATCCTCTAATGTGTCTTATCTGTTATCAGGGAGCCAGTGGACAAAAAGGACAGAAAGGAGACCGTAGTTTGGAAGACGATTTGGTTCGTTGCAGTATTTTTCAGAATAAATGATAACTTTATTTGATCGGGAAGTAACTTTTTTGTGATGACTGTCAAGGGTTTTGTAATATGTATATCGATACTTTCTCCTCTCCTTTCAGGCTCAGATTATTTTTCAGTCAGGCCCCCCAGGGCCACCTGGATCTCCAGGACCCCAAGGCCCCATGGTGAGGGCCACATAAGTGGCTGTATGAAGTATACATATCAGTGGGTAAACCCCTCATTTCTGCCATACTTTAATCATCCTTTAATTAAGGCAAAATGGTGGGTCACCTATATTAAATTTGTCTTCAAATGTGGTTCTAAAACAGAAAATGTCACATATTGCCAAAGGTAAAAAAAAAATCCAGTTTTTACTTTTTAGATTTTGTTTCAACCAGCCAGTTAAGTATAAAGAGTCACAGTCACAGAGTACTCAGCTGGGTGGTTGAAACAAAATCCCGGTCTGGACTTTCACTCTCTGTACCAGAAATGTCCACCCCTGCGTTTTGTTAATTGCTGATTGGAATTATTTATAGGGACTTTGTTTGATCCTAACTGGCCTCCTCCTTTAAACTTTAATCTGCAAATTCATTAAACTATGAATAAAATTAACTGTAAGGATTTATTTACGTTCCAGGGATACCCAGGCCTACCTGGTCCCACGGTGAGTTTACTGACTGGCATTCTGAGAAAATCCTGATAACCATCTACCGTCAAAGTAGACCTGATCAGCAGCGAATTACACAATTTGCAAGCCTAGCAATGTGGCTTTCCGTGATATTTACAGTGAAACGTCATTTCCAAGACTGAGAGAGATACGAGTCCATGATCTTTTATTGCCGTCAAGAGCTGCGCAAACTTTAATAACTTCCAACATCTGAAAAACAGTCCACAGTGATTCTGGATGAACTCAGGTAACCTTTGGTGCATTTTTTGGTGTTTCTTGGTATTAAACAGGGGGAGCCAGGACAGGGACTGAGAGGAGAGAAGGGGGACCCTGGGGATAGAGGCCCCCCAGGAATAAGGGTGAGTCGAAGCTCCCCCCATGCACCCGCAAATGAATCGTCTCTATTGTGCAGCGTAGATGCACAACTTCTCACCTTCTGAAGTGCTTAAATGACTACCGCAGTGTTTCTCAACCCAGTCCTCAGCGAACCCCAGCCAGTCCACGTTTTTGCTCCCTCCCAGCTCCCAGCCAATCAGGAACACTGAATAGCTGGTACAGGTGCGCTAGGAGCTGAGAGGAAGCAAAACCGTGGACTGGCTGGGGTTCGCTGAGGACTGGGTTGAGAAACGCTGGACTGGCGGATATGGAAATGATCACCACAATCTTCTATTTTTGGGTTTTCAGGGTATTCCGGGGCCTGCGGGGTTAATAGGACTCCCGGGTATTAAAGGAGATAAGGTACGTGCCTTCAAGACCACGTTACTCAACTGTCTATTTAAACCTCCATGGGTTTGATTATTTACATGTTGGTTTTGCAGGGAAAACCAGGAGAGCCAGGATTTGATGTGAGTACAGATTTTTTTTTTCCCTCTGCTTCCAAGCCGGCCATAATCATTTAGTTTGGTCTTTCAGCCGCACACAGGGGCGGGTGATGTGAATTTTGTTATCAGGAATTTGCACCAAACCGCTGTGGACGGTGCGCATGTAGCCCAGATTTTTTTGTCTGGTGGAAATCATGTGCGAGATTATTGACTAGGTGGCAGCACCGACTTTCACGGTGCAGAGGTTATCGACGAAACGGTAGCGGAAGATTAGCTGTTGTAGTAGTTATGAGGAGCAGCTATACAGCATGAACTAGCCTTTACACAAATGACTCCTTCTGCAGGGGTTTCCAGGCCTAATAGGAGAAAAGGGTGACAGGGGTGACAAAGGCGAGAAGGTGAGTCTGTCGTCGCTTTGACTGTCTTTATATCTCGGTTAGCGGCCTTGTCTTGATCCCTATTCGGGGGTATTGCTGTCTGCTCAGGGGATATGGAGGTTGAGCTGACGTTGGGGTGCCATGGCAGGGATCTCTGCTTAATGAGTGTTTTTCCTGGCAGGGGGGCCGGGGAGCTTTGGGCAAGAAGGGCACCAGGGGACAGAAGGGTGAGCAAGGACCCCCCGGTCTGGACCAGCCCTGTCCTGTGGTGCGTGACCTCGATGTCAGTCGTCCCTTTGTAGACCCTTAGCTTTCCACAGTAGGGGCCGATGTCAGAGACCAAACGCTTCAATGAATGGGATTAAGTACTAGACTTTAATAATACTATACGGCCGTACCTCTACTAATTGGTCCAGTTACAGATCTAGAGCTAGATTGTTGCTCGTGATGTATTTAGTTGTCAGAAATCAACACAGTAAATGTAACCTTCATGACTAAAAAGGTCAGATACAACTATTGAGCATTAATTGTCGTTTGATGCCGGTTGTTTTTTATTACAGGGTCATGACGGGCTACCTGTACCAGGCTGCTGGCATAAGGTCAGTGTTTTATTAATTAAGTCCATTTACTAATTTACATGACACGTCATGGTTATGCCGTTAATGGTAGTGAAACTTCATGAACCATTTTCTATATTTTTTTTACCTCACTATTTGGTGCTCGTTTTTTGAATAAAGAGCACCATCTAGTGGTGTCAGAAAATACAGCAAATGGTTCATGAAGCTTCAATTGGCCATCACTACTTGTCAAAGATTTGAAATATCAAACTATATGTGAATAAAAATGTTTATGGAATTAATAGATGCTAGTACAGTCTGTATTAAAGCCTTTGTTGATCAGCTTGGTCTTGCACTCAAAATATGAGAAAAATGTAACCTTTGGGGCATAATAATAAATATTCTGAAATGTATCCAATGTTTTTCTGATATTAATTGAGGGTGTCAGTGATTCTGGAGGACACTGTATGGTTATTTATCAGAATAAAAATAAAACCTTGTTTATGTGAAATGTGTTTCCACAAGCCTTTTCAGTCCTGTAACCTCTTCTGTTTGTTTATTTACAGTGATGGAAAATCACACTCATCTAGTCACACCTGTACATACCGGCAATGAATCTTTGTAAACTAAATGCATTTTTTTTTTAATACTGAAATTTTTTCCTGAAAAATGTCTTTTTTTTAATTTAAATTAAATGTGTAGAATGTTATTTTCAACTTATTACCAGTGGTAATTTTTAATGTCATATGTCAAAAAAGACGTTTGATGTAGTATTATAGAATAAAAGTCAGAGGCTTAAATCTTTGAAGTACTACACAATGAGAAATGTACTGAAAATGTACAATAAATGTGAAAAAGTAGTATACTAGTAGTATTAGTAAACATACTCAGACTGAATTAAATAGACACAAGTTGCTGCTAAGATCCATAGTAATAAACTGCCCTAATGTTATTTCCTGGTAGAAGAGTGTGAAATTGCCTGAAAGTAATAGATGTGAAAGATCTACCAGTGTTAATCCTCATTAAATGGAAATCTGATTCATAGAAGCAGACTGAGACGCAGGTGCTCCAATGTAGCCATGGCAACCGAAGCGAGAGCATACAAGATGCTGGTAACTATAATGTAACTGGCTGGTCGCCAGATAGTGCAGTGAGAGAAGGTCACCAGGACCCCAGCTCACTACACCGCCATGCTAGCAGAACCCACCATTTTGACAAGACCTACAAAGTACGTTAAGAATATCGATGAATGACTTAAGATTGGTAATTTAATAGGGACCTGCTGTCCACATTTCTTCAAAAAAAATTGTCAAATTTTAATTTTATTTTTTTAAGAGAATTCGTGTATATATTTAGGTTTCTTTATAACTGAACATGAAGAAATGATTGACCACCTGTAAAATTAGATAACAATTGTGAAATATCTGGCATCATATATAATTATGTATTTTTTTTTGTTTGTTTGTACATTGTATTACTAAATAATTGTGCTAGAAAGGCATGATCACTTGTTTATTATAACATCATATGCAAAATATTTAGTTTGGAGTTGCTGAAGATTTGTTACGCTAATGGTTTCCTTTTTCAGTTTCATTCATACGTGTAAACAATCCAGATTTAGTTGCGTTACTCATAGTCAAATATTTTGCTTATGAACAGTTTATTCCTGAATCTAGCTTTTTCCATCATTTCAGTAAAAACAGCTGTAACCTTCTTAACAAGATAAAGAATAATGTTTGAACAGTTATCAGATACTCTGTCATTAAAAGTATCTGTAGAATGTATCGTAATTTTATAATCTCGATTGCCTTGGCCTGCTGTGGTTTTTGGCAGTCAAGCTACCAGTATGGCTGGGAGTGTTTTACTTCACAAAATTATCAAAATGCACCTGGTGGCAGTATCTTATTACTTTTTCAATTATATTTTATATTCAGCTACACTCCTGGTATTTGCTGTCAACAGGATTGATGTGTAATCCTTATTTTTTATATAAACATAGTTCCCATCCTTCTGCAGTGTGATTTTTTTTTATAACAAATCATTATTTCCTCATTCACTGATTAGAACCCATCTAGACGCCCCAAACACATTGTAAATGCACAGTTCATATATTCACTATACAGAGAGTATCATATACACCTTATGACCGTACCAAACCCTGGTAAACTATCGGTTAGGTAAAAAGCATGTGTTTCAATAGACGATCCAAACCTGCACATTTTCTATGCTGGAGAGCAAGAGTTACATTTACACTGTTGTGTGATATTTCACAAGGGATGCAGTGGTGTTTGCTAAGGATCAGGGAAGGAGAAGATGCATTATTGTGATACAACGTGACCGACAAATACTCAGGAGCCAGGAAAATATGGAGAGAGGGAGACAGAATAAAATATACCATCTAGGCGTCTTTCACAGTATGTTCGTAAAATAATCGTAATAATAATATAATTACATTAAAGATTGGAATGCATTTCCTCATTTTAACCATCACGATAAAAAAATTTCTGGCTTGTGGGATGTTTAAGGAAATTTACTTTCAAGTAAATCCTGTAATTTTTCCTTTTTTATATTTTATCTTGTTTGTTTTATATTTGTATACAGATTTGTGTTTTATGTTGGTTTTTTTTTTAAGATAAATCGTTCAAAAAATAAAGTATCACTTTTTTAAGATGACATGTTGTCTGTGTCTGCTGTGGGGCATTGTTGGGTTGATATGTCCCCACTGCATAAAACAATGATTTACCACTTTTGCAGCTCACAACAGCTTCAGCAGTGTTTGAGTATTAATAATAATAATAATTGACCCCCCCCCTCAAAGGGCAGCCACCTGTTGGGGTGCCCAGGGAGCCGGGGGTTAAGGGCCTTGCTCAAGGACCTACAGATGTGCTGAGGCTGGGTTTGAGCTGGCAACCTTCTGAGTACAGAAACACAGGCTTAGCCCACTGAGCCACACGCTGCTCCCCGCCCCGCCCCGCCCCGCCCGAACATTGCTGTCCTTTCTAGGGGATGCTTTCTCATGCAACTTGTGCTTATGACCTTGTGCTCATGACAGCCAGTTATTTGAAAATTGACGGAACATGCCACCATCGTGATAACCTTGGGATGCGTTGCCTTCCAGATGCGAAATGAAACCTAAGAGCCCCAGCGTATTCAAAGATATGGTTTATTTATCATACATAAAAATGCGTGACACACTCCCAAACCTGAAATTATGATTTGGAGCCATTTGTATTACACTGTGTTGGTGAGTTACCAGAGTCTCGTGGTCTGTGAAGGTACCATTCATATAGACAGGAAGGATGCAACATTAACAAAGTCTGGTTTGTTGGTATAAATTTGGTTCACTTGTTTTTTGTTGTTGAAGAATTGTTTGCGCATTCATAATCAGATCAGATATTCAATATTTGAATGGGATGGTTCCTCTCTTCACCAGTTTTGTAGTATTGGATTAACAGCTTTAATTTATTGTTCCTTATTAATTCTTCAGGTAACCAATATTTATTCTTAGACTTATTCAGCAAGGCATGCTTGTCCGTTGGATGAAACCCCCCCCCCACTCCTACCCATCCTGCAAAAATGATCTCCTACAGACTGATCTAATCAATAATAAACGATCCTATGATGCAATTTATTAGAAAGCCTGGTTAGTCCCTTAAGGGTCTTAACTGTGACTGATTGTCTGACTAGGGAACTGGGGAGATATATTAAGATGTATTCTGATGTTTTATCTGTCTGTGGCCAGTGGGTGGCGCAATGCTTAATGACATGGACTCTTAAACCTACTAGTTCAAGTTCCTGGGCCCCCTAATGAGCCGCTGATGAAGGAACCTAACCTTCTTTACTATGGTAAAATATCCAGCTGTGTGTGGGCTATGAGAACACAAACGCACGGCTGGTGGAATTCTTCATGGTAAGCTGGACTCCCCAGGATGACAGCCATTCCGAATGGGTGTCCTTTGTGCAATTTTCCCCAAACAGCATCAACCCCATCATTGTGCCCTGTGGCCGTCTGAAAAGGATTCTCTAGAAGCTCTGCCTCCAAATTAGCCTGCATAGCTAAAGGTTCATGTCTCCTGCAGTAGGGGCCTTCTCTCCTGACGGTTCCATATGACTGCAGTGGCAAGGAATGCTGGGAACTGAGACACAGCCATGTACAGTATTCTGACTATAAGCAATGCAATAGTTAGAGAGTCACGTGTTGCTTTTCCACCGGCATACAGGAACCAGGCCGTACCCAAGCCGTACCACGAAGAAAGCCTAGTTACAGCGCGGTTCCGGCTCGCTTCGGTTTTCCACTGCAGAAGGATCGGCTCAGTAAAGGTGTTACTGGGTTTGGAGAGCGACAGTGATGTAAATCCAGTGGTGTACATTATGATTTCATTTAAGTGCTAATTTACCGCTAGCAAGTCTTGCCTCGTTATGTTAGCATCAAACATTTGCGGAATTTGCATTTGCTTACGTTGATGTACATTATGAATTCATTCCGTTCAGATGCTGTTCTATAGTACTTCATCAAGTAGGAGGTTGGAAATTTCCGGGTTCCAGGTTGTCGGGAATGCATCAATACATCATGATGTGCGATACTACAAATAATGATTAATATATAAAATATGCCTTTTTTTCCTTCAGATAATCCATGCATATGGAGATACACCAGTATCGCCAAGCATTTCCACCAATCAGACATTGGTGATGCTGGCTTTCTTATTTCTTCATACATTTGTTCATTGATTTGTGAGAACAATCGTTCTCTCTCTCCCCCCAAGTGTCTTGGGGTGACTAAACTTCCTAAATTTCTCTGTATTTTGAATTGTATTGTCATTGCATTGCATTGTCTTGACTTTTACTAGACTTCTGTTTTATCCCTTATTCCCATGACATTATGTGTTGTTAGTTCAACGCTCCACTTGTTGAGCTAGCTCTATTTTTATAAGACATTTATAGTGTGGTAGAAGACTTAAGTACATTAGTTGTTAAGTCCAGTATGGTTGGGTGCTAAATGTTTAAATAAAAAAAAATGCCTTTGCTGTCTATGCCCACCTGTTATAGCTACAGGATTAGCAGCCACTGTTTCGCAAACGTTTAATCTAACCTAACAACTGACTGTTTAATCAGGCCTTGGGCCTGTGCCTCCTCAGTTTAACCCACCCATATTAGCTGACAGCCATCTACCAAAGTGTAATTTGTTTAACCAGCTAAATGTTGAATTTAGCTCCTTTCCAGACCCCGTTTCCTGGCTACACTAACAAACTGAGTGTGAGTTACCATCGGAATCCAATCTGGCATCCGCTTTCCGGGGCCAAAATCTGCTATGAAACAACAAGCTGGAATAAATAAAGAATTTTATTTGTTAAACAGATTTTTTTTATGTTATTTGCAGTTTTTGTCTGGGGTATTTGTATGCACACTTAAAAGTAAATCCTGTCAGACCCGTAGAATAATGTATTTACCATTTTTCCCCAAACATATTTATATGTATATACATTTTAAGAAATTAAATGACATTTTCGAGTAAATATGTCTATTTTTTATTGAATGGTATCTGAAGCGTTGTATATATTACGCTGGACTAGGAGACTTCTGGATGCAGCAACATAAAACCATTAGCGCTAAATCCGGCAAATCTCCCAGCGAGCTGCGTTGCCCATCCTGCCATCCAGCGGGCAGTGAAGGTACTGCAATTCCAGCGCAGGCTCAGCTGTGGCTCATGTGATCCCATGATTCCAAAAGGCAGATACTGCATTCCTGAATCTTAGCACTTTGATATTCATTTAATATACGGACGCACTGGCTATTCTTCCTGTGACACAGTTCGGCGAATTGCATTCAGTCCTGTACACTAGGAGCAGCGTACATGCAGTGCAGCAACAGATACAACAGAAGTGTCGGCGTTTGAGCTCCTGATGTTTGATTTAAAACACGTGCGGGGCACCGCTGGGTCTCAGAGGAGCGACACCTTCTCTGAATGCTGCATATAGAGGGATCTACGGGCTGGCCTGTTTGAATGGGGTAAGCAAATAACTTTTAAGATTGAGTGCAGTATTTTGTATTTATATGTCAAGTTTAACTCAAAGAAGGCAGTTTTGCTGAGTCAAAGGTTTCTGTGTAATTAAATTTAGCTGGCCATCAACACTGCTTGATGTTAATGTGAAGGGTAGTAGCCCGCATTTAGCACACTAACATTAAAAATGTGCTCGGCCAGTATGTAAATTTAATTCGATATATGGTCTTACAAAATCCGCTTTCAAAAGATAATAGCTAAAAAGGCGGCTGCTTTTGGGAGATGTATATTCAGCATTTTCAATAGAGGGATTTGCTATAAGGAAACTTGATTATGGGAGACAGCTGAAATAAAAATATACTAGCATGACCCCCAGGAACTCTAGGAGCTGTACTTATGAAAGCTGAACATTTGATGGATTATATAGCATTGATCCGTTGCTCACCGTTTAACTTCTTTTGCTTTCTTAACCCGTGACTGACAGACTTTCTCCCCTCTGCCCATGCATATTTTATAATTCAATGCGCATTTAGCATGGTCATAATGATGATGTTTCTTTAATCGCTTCGAGGGCGAGATGTTGTCTTATAATGGCACGCATCCAGCAATCCATTAATTGCTTTGCGTATATGGAATATGAATGTTTTTCTAACACCAGTATCAGACGTGGTCAGACGTTTATTTTGTACCCTATACTAACAAAAATTCAGTGGCTGTTCATCACTGAGAACTATAATGCTGGAGATGCTTGGTATGATCTGCATTTTGTTTCTCGTGAAAGCAGCAGATACTGCGAACACTAAAGTGAACCTGACCTGTAGTTTTGTGTTTGCAAACTTGCACTCATTTGTTGCTTGCTAAATAGTACGAGTCGGACACAATTTTGCATGGCAATGTGGCTAAACGTATTGCAGTATAACTTCTATTGCCTTTAGAAACATTAAATTTGAATACTGTCAAATTATACTTTCTGTTCTAACTCACACGCCGCTTTGAGATACTGTAAGCGGAAGTCGATGGTAATATGAACTGAGAGGCGCTTATGTAGTCCGACCAATAGAAAAACAGGATGGTCGTGATCGACAGACCGGTCTAACGAATCGTGCGACCTGTTATTAGGGGAGTCATTTATCCGGTCCTATAAAAATTGCCACGAGTTGGCATTGTAAGGGAGAATCCATCTTGAAGGCAAATTTGTGGCGCGGTGTAGTTTAGCAGTAAGTAGCTATGAAATTATTAAAAACGATCACGCAAGCCGGTCTTTTAATGCCGGCATTGTCGTGTCCGCTCTCAACTGAATATGTTGCGCCGTTGCTGACTTTCCCTTGTGCAATGGATGATAATGTATTTAGATATTAGCTATGAGCCTCTCGCTGGTTTGCATGGCAAGCCTGAGGCCTCGCCGAATAAGCAATTATGTAAGAAGGAAATATCCCGTTATGCCGCATGAATGATGTAATAACGCTATTTAACTGTATCAATATTAATGCAACAGTGTGTCGTTGTTACACGTTTGCAGATGTGTACAGAAGCGGCGCGGAACTGTATCGTAACTGTGTCCCATTGGTGTTGATGTTTAGGTGTTTAACGAGTCCCGTTTTATCAGTCAAAATGCACGCATGCTTTTATTAATTACTGTGTCTGTGTAAAGCAGATAGATCGGGAAAGCTGCACGGTTACCTAACTGCTTTCCCCTGGTGCAGATAAGCCGCGATGTCCGACACTGAGCAGCAGTTCATGGAGACCTCGGAAAATGGCAACGAGGGCGACGACCTGAACGGGGCCGAGGCTGCCGAGCAGCCGGACTATCAGGAGGAAGCGGCGGTGGAGGAGGAGGAAGAGGAGGAGGAGGAAGGCGACTCGCAGCATGGCGCCGAGGATGGCGGGCGGATCAACGCCAGCAAGGGCGAGGAGGATGCGGGGTGAGGGCCGGGTGACGGGGGATCCCGGTACGGGACGAGCGATGCGACGCTTTCGGGATAAGCCCCTTTGTTCCGCCGGCTTTGTTGGCGCCATATGCTGCCTTATGGGGGATGGGCAGTAACTTGGTCCATGTCTTGGGTGGCTTTCTTACCCAAACTATCCATTCGTTGTAAGGTTTGCTTAGTGATTAGGGGTGCTGTCGTGGTCCTCCTGAGCCACGATGCGGGGGCTGGTGGCTCGGAAGTAAGGTGACAGTGGCGGCCTGGCTTCATCCTTCATCTCACTTTGATGGAGGGCAGCATTGATGCTCTGTCGTTTGTTCGGATGTTCGTTACAAACCCCGCACTGTCTGATTGGGATTCATATGCAGTATAGTTGACTCCTGCCCGATTTCAGTCAGAAACATATTAGAGGTGGAAATTTCCGGTACAAAAAGTAAAAATACAGACTATGATGTTTCAGCCAACCAGCTGAGTACTGAGGACTGAATCTTTATACTGAACTGGTCGGTTGAAACAAAATCTTTGTCTGGATTTTTACTGCCTGTCACCTGAAATTTCCACCTCTGGTGTTTCAAGTGATTTGAGAGAGCTTTCCAAAGTTAGCTTCTTCTGTAATGGTTGCTAAAAAGCATCTTTGTTTTCCAGCAAAATGTTTGTTGGCGGACTTAGTTGGGACACGAGCAAGAAAGACCTCAAGGATTATTTCTCCAAGTTCGGGGAGGTGACTGACTGCACGATCAAGATGGACCCCAACTCGGGACGGTCGCGAGGATTTGGCTTCATCCTGTTCAAAGACGCCACGAGTGTGGAAAAGGCAAGCCTAGCACCTTCAGTTAGGCATGCATGCATGGAACAGTAAACCTTGAGTGATTTCCAGAGGTGGGGATTTCAGGTCCTGAGAGTACAAATCCAGACCGAGATTTTGTTTCAACCAACCAGTTGAGTATAAAGAGTCACAGGCACAGAGTACTCAGCTGGTTGGTTAAAACAAAATCTTGGTCTGGATTAGCACTTTCGGGACCTGATATCTCCAGCTCAGGTGGTTTCTCCCAGACTCTCGTGCCACAATAGAAGACATTGCTATAAAAAAGTAGCCATTGTCTCCCAACCCAGCAATATGTACCTAGCATCACCGTATCAACATCAAATCCCAGGGAATACCTACAAATTGCAAGTTGCTTTTGATACGAGTCAGATAAATGAGTGATTGTGTTGTAAACAGGCGATGGGTAGTAATGCTTAGCGATGTCTCAGAGATGATAGCCTTCAAAACGCCGCAATTGGTTAATCCAGCATTTCCTTTCCTCCCCAGGTGCTTGAGCAGAAAGAACACAGACTAGATGGGCGACAGATTGACCCAAAGAAAGCAATGGCGATGAAAAAAGAGCCAGTTAAAAAAATATTTGTTGGTGGTCTCAATCCAGAGACGACGGAGGAGAAGATCCGGGAGTACTTCGGGACCTTCGGAGAGGTCTGCTGCGTTAAATCAAGCCAGATGTCTTCAGAAAAATATAATTCCTGCTTTCCTGATTTTCACTCTTGTGTTGTCCCCCAGATTGAAACCATAGAGCTTCCAGTGGATCCAAAGACAAATAAAAGGAGGGGATTCGTCTTCATCACGTACAAGGAAGAGGCATCTGTTAAGAAAGTGCTTGAAAAGAAATACCATAATGTTAGCGGAAGCAAGGTGTGTTTGATACGGGCCTGTGTGTGATGGGTGAATTAACATGCAGTGTTGCTTTAAGGAGCGTTATTGGAATTGTCAATGTCTAAACTGCGATGTCCCCTTAACGTTCACTGTATGCTTCCTCCTCCCTCAGTGTGAGATTAAAATCGCTCAACCCAAGGAGGTTTACCAGCAGCAGCAGTTCGGCGGCCGTGGCTATGGACGTGGCAGGGGGCGAGGTAGGGGGCGAGGTGCAGAGCATTCGGTGGCGGAGACGAAACTGTGTTTCTGTGTTGCCCGGTGATTCAGTGGGTTCTCGTTGTAGGTCAGGGCCAGAACTGGAACCAAGGCTACAACAGCTACTGGAATCAAGGTTATGGCGGTCAGGGGTACGGATATGGTGGCCAACAGGGATACGGAAGCTACGGCACTTACGGCAACTACGACTACTCATCTGGTTACTACGGCTACGGAGGGGGATATGATTATAGTAAGTGCGGACCTCTGTGAGCGCTCTGATTGGCTCAGTCGTCTTTCCTCAGTATTGTGGTGCTCAGCCTATCTCTCCTCCTTCCAGACCAGGGCAATACAAGCTATGGAAAATCTCCGAGGCGTGGAGGCCACCAGAGTAGCTACAAGCCATACTGATCGCGCGCGGCATAGGTACGGGCCCGTAGCTCTCGCGTCTCGTCTGGCTGGTTTCAAACTCCTTGTTTTGGGGGATGGATTGTAATTGAGGAATGGATCTTTTGGGATTGGATTAAAGCAGGAATCGGTCGCTGTGGTTTACCGGCAGAGTTGGGAATTTCAGGCCCAGAATGTAAAAATCCAGACCAAGATTTTGTTTCAACCAGCCAGCTGAGTACTCTCACTTTTTATACTGGCTGGTTGAAACATCATGGTCTGGATTTTTACTTTCTGGATCTGAAATTTCCACCTCTTTACCAGTAACGCGAAATGACCATGTGACCTCAGCGTGGTTTTTGGTGGCTTAAACTTCATGTAGGTATGATGGGCTGTCCTCAAGAAGCACACAATAGGGACCTCGGTCTAGATTTTTGTTTTAAGAATCCCCGCCTCTGTACTTCATTTGTCGTGATTTGGTTTTGCCAGACGAATGTTCGGACGTAGTCTTTCTGCATTTCTGTCTTTGCTGTTTTGTTGACACTTGTTTTGAAGACTAACTGTAGAACTTACTTTGTTTTTTTGCTTTGCCTTTAAGGAATGAAGTGAGTCAGAGCAAGACCCTCCGCGGCGAAGGCAGCAGCAGCAAACATGGGGCCTAACTTGCCTTGGGAGTCTGCAGAATTAGACTCGTGCTCCATTTTGTACAGTCGAGGAACTGGGGAGACAAATGTCACTTTTCCTTTGTTTTATATATATATTTTTGTTTGTTTATTCTGTCATACACATTTCCAGAGATGGAAGTGTTATTTTTACTGTACTTTTTGGTACCTTTTTTGGATCTAATGTATTCTATGGTTGTATTTTACATGTATCCTGGATAATCTGCGAGAGATGAAATCAAGAGACGACAGAACTTTTGAAATAAACAATTTGACTTATTTTTTTTTCCCCCCCATGTTTCTAGATTTTTTTTTTTTTTTTTTTCGTACGTCTTTCTGGCTTGTCTGGGGCATTGAGGCAAGATTCCGAGAACAAATGAATTGAATTAAATTTAATCGTAAGCTTTTCTTCTAGTTATTTTGTGAGTGTTTGACATGTAGATATGGGCAACCCAGCTTTTTGTTTGTTTTATAAAGTTATCTGCATTTTTAAGTGGCTTTTGATAGCGTAATTACACCCATAACATGCACACCTGCTAATGTATAGTCATTACTCTTCCACTGGAATTTAATTCCGCTAGTGACCTGGCAAATTCTTAGAAATAAACTTTTGGTTTATTATTTGTGTGGATGTTTGATTATTAACTTATAATAATTCTGATCGATATGGATTCTGGCAGTTACCTAAATCGTTGGCATTTTGAAATGGATTCTGGTTGCTTGTAAGATTCCTGTGTGTTTTGACTGCTCCTTGTATTAGCTGTTGAATATAAATATTGATTTGGATTGGGTGTGCATTCTGTGAGTTTTATACAAGAAACCTTTACCATTACTCCTAACGGCACTGTATTGGCCTTTTAATCCAAACAAAACTCTTAGAAACACTGTCTGGTTGTTTTTGTATGCACTTGCAACGGATGATATTTTTATGAAAGCGATTTCAAACAAAACCATGAATGAAACAATGTAAATTCGACTGATCTTTCAACAAAGCGAAAATATCAAAACAATCAAAGCAATGTCACATGATCTTAACATGGTCAAAAATGGTGTTTGGCCAACTGATTTCAAATCAGCCACCTCGTTTTCAGCTGTGATGAGTATGTCATTGATGACCGACGTAACCCATTCCCTTAGTGTAACGATGGCTAACCAAGCTCATTCCTTAGTAATCTTATCTAATCTGCCTATTACAAGCAACACATTCATGGGAATAAATATTTACATTCAAATGTTTACTTTATATATTTTGTTTATAAATTTCCCGTGAGGAGAAATTGCTACAACAGGCACTTGACATATTCGGGAAGTGTGCCTTGCCGTACACCAATCAGCCATAACATTAAAATCACTGATCGGTGAAGCAGATAACGCTGATTATCTCGTTAGAGTGGCACCTGTCAAGGGTGCCATTGTATTTTAGGCAAGAGAACAATCAGTTTTTGAAGTTGATGTGTTGGGAGCAGGAAAAATGGGGAAGTGTAAGGATCCGAGTGACTTTGACTTGGGCCAAACTGTGATGGCTAGACAACTGGGTCAGAGCATCTCCAGAAGGGCAGGTCTTATGGGGTGTTCCCAGTATGAGGCAGTCAGTATACTGAAAGTGGGCCAGGGAAGGCCTACTGGTGAACCGGCAATGGGGTCATGGCCTCCCAAGGCTTATTGCTGCATGTGGGGAGCGAAAGCTACACGAGAGGGGCAAAGAGAGAAATCGAGAAGGAGAAGATAAAGATTGAAGGAAGGAAATACTGAAGAAAAATCAACAGGTCAATTCACTGAAGTGGTAAGTGCGTGAGGTTAAATGGTAGCTATCTTTGCTAAATTGTCATGAATGTGAGGCAGTCCAGGGTTACAATTATCCCCTTTACTCTCAAACTGGGGCCTGTTGTGTTGGAAAGAACTGAGGGTCAAGTGGGCGCAGTGATGCAGTGATGCAGTGATGCAGTGTCCACCATCCCGCAGGTGGCTAAGTCTCTTAGTCCTGCGATCGGAAGGCTGCTGGTTTGAGTCCTGGCCTTGGCAGAGTAGTCGCATGTCAGTGCCCCCCCCCCATGCATGACACCTCCATGCATGACCGTCAACTGGCTGGTCTATCAGGTGTTCGAAGCACAGTTCCCCTCTTGAATATGTCAGCAATTCATACTGTCACAGCTGTCCTGATTTAAAGCTCTTTCATTTCCTGCTGAATTTCCTCATTATCTCAGTGCTTAACTACATAGAAACGACAGCATACTCGACCTGGTTAGCTTGGCAGATTGTGGTGATAAAACTTTTTAATTTGATGGTTCAGTAGGCACAGGGATCCTGCAGTGTTAATTCTATAATGGGGGTGGCCATTAGTTAGGGGGGGTCCTTTCTGGATGTCTTTTGTTTTCCCAAAAATTCTTTGAGGAAAAATTTAAAGAGTGAACACATGTTCTCTCAGAAGTTCTACTAAAACACCAATAACAACGCTGGAAGGTATTAACTGGCTTCAAATGCCCCTGGCACCTTAAAGGCAGATTAAATATAACAGGGTTGCACAAAATAATTGCACTGTTTCTATTGGTTTCTGTATGTCTTTTTAAAAAGGGAGCATTTAAAGTCTGTTTTTGTAGCTTTCATGGAACATGAAAATGATCATTAAAAAATGGCGTCATTTTGTCCATCACTGCAGTCAGCAGTAGGTGTCACTCTAGAGAAACGATAGAAGGGAACTTAACAGAAGGTGAGACAGGCTACTCCATATCCTCGGTACATATAACTCACGCTAAACAGCAGGAGTTAATAATGATAATTGATGCTTTATTGATCCCTGTGGAGAGTCTCGATTAGAAATACGGTATCTTAAAATTAGCAATGTTACCTTCAAAGTCGAGGCTCCGAGGCATGTATCTCGTACGACCGGCAGTGTTCGCTGAAGCCTTCACTTTGAAGCTTGTGTCAGTGTCGGAGAATCATGAAATCGACTTGAAAATGTTTTTTGGTTGCTTGCAGGTTGATAAGATCAGTTATTGATCCAAGGTGGAAATTCTTGACATGATTTTGTTCTTTTTTGATGTCCTTCCTACTATCTGAAAAGTAAAACCACTATGAAAGAGGCAATATTCTCTACTCGGAACACAGGGTCTACACATATTGTTAATGTAAAAAATGAGAAGTTGGCCAGGACTCAATAGAGTGAAACTACTTTTAGTTCTGAATAAAAATGTTCCTTCCCACACAGTGGCATTCCGCTGTCTTTACTAAAGCCTCAGTCCCAGTTACAGAAGTACGCATATCAGTCTATTACAATCTTCATTACCCCCCCCCCCCTCATTTTAATCAAGTCAAAGCTGTATATTAGATATTGACCAATAGGTGGCACAGCACTTTCACAGTCAGCTTCTGTGCCACAGTCCGTCTCGAGTTTCCTGAGCAGCTCTGTGGCATAACTGTCACATTGCTTCTTGTTCGGATTGCAGGCAGCTGGTCATCGTTAGTTAAGAGCAGCTTAGGACTGGACTAAGAAGTTGAAGTAATCATTTCCAAGTTTGAGTTTCCACTGCAACTCTATATAGACATTTTGGGTGCTGCCTTACATTTAGAATCGTCATTAGGCGCAATTAGCAAAGCAAGTAGCCATATCGCATCAAAATGATCTGGATGAAAATTTTTAGCTTTGCATTTATTAAGCAGGGACACTAATCCAAATTGACGTAGAGCTGAGAAGCTAAGGGCCCACAACGCTGAAGCCACAGGATCTGGACCTTTGACTTTTCGTCATTGGCACAAGTCCAGTAGCTGTAATCAATATTAATAAACGATGTTTCCGCCCGGTTTCGAACCGGGGACCTTTCGCGTGTGAGGCGAACGTGATAACCACTACACTACGGAAACTCACGACTTTTGCTGTGATATACTCACATAAAGATACTAGAATATTAAGAAAGTTCTTCCTTATAGGCAGAATGTGTAGTATCCATATTTTTCTCGGTCATTTTTTGTCTCGGTCAAGTGTGTGAATAACCAATGGTTAAAACGAGTTAGCAAGATTTAGTTCTCTCGAAGCACACCTTTCGAAGGCACTATTGTCCACTATTGTCACTAGATGGTGCTATTGAGAACATCATGCAATAAGCGGGTGATTTAATGACTACAAATGTAGCAATGTAAATAAATCAAGGAAATATTAACTTAAAAAATATGGCATACTTTTTCATTTGGGAAACATTAATGAAAGAAAAACACATTCCTTCCTACATGTTTGTTTTAATGTATTTTTTATGGAAATCGATTCAGCCCGTGGAATGCAGGTGTAAATAAGGATTACAACTCCCAGCAAAACGGAAAATAAGTATGATCAGCGTTCATGACCTTTATTCCAAATTAAACGGTTGTTAACCTTTGCTTTTAAAATGCTGAAATGTTGGTTCCATAGGTGACGATGCGGCTGAAAAGGTCAAATGAAATGTGCATCATTAGCGGAAAACGATGTCATTTTGGTAAATCCATACTATTATCTTTTTGTTTCTAAATAAAAATGTTTTGTGCTTTGTTTACTAGCATTTTGCACCTTTTATATAACTCTTTTGAAAATAGTTATATATATATATTTTTTTTAAAATAATTTTTCTAAAGTTTTTGTTTTCACCTCTGAACACAAGAGGGCAGTGTATGTGTACTTTAGGTTCTGCAGGACAGATGTTTCGTACATAATGTACTCATTGGGCCTTACAAATGTTACCACGTCTGCTGCGTTTGTTTTCCGTCTCCCTGTTCCCTGCTTTGGACTAAAAATTTACTGTCCTCTACAGCAGTCACTTAACAGTCAGCACTGGTCTTGGCAAAAAGCTCCACTGGAAAAAATGGAAACCAAATGCAATAGAATCAACTATTTCATTTAGTAGCTAATCAATGTAACAATAATAATTAAAAAGGATACGAGTCTCATGATTGTCACATCACAGCCACCACAGCATTCAATTCTGTGGTTAATTATTACAGAACCGCGTGTGAGTATCACTAAATTTTCACACTGGGAAGAATAAGTTCTTGTTGTATATAATTTTTCACCACCAGCCATTATGGGGCAGCGCAGTGACTGACTGCTCTGGGACCAGGGTTCGAGTCTCTGCCATAGCTCCATGTGTGTAGAGTTTGCACGTTCTCCCCATGTCATCGTGGGATTTCCTCCGGGTACTCCGGT